ATATCTGATAAAGGGCTAGTATCCAAAATCTATAAAGTACTTCTCAAAGTCAACACCCAAACAACAAATAATCCAGTTAAGAAATGGGCACAAGTCATGGATAGACATTTCTCCAAAGAAGACATCCAGATGGTGAACAGATCCATAAAAAGATGCTCCACATCACTCCTCAACAGGGAAATACGAATCAAAACCACAATGAGACATCACCTCACACCAGTCAGAATGGCTAAAATTAACAACATAAGACACAACAGATGTTGGTGAGGATGCGGAGAGAGGGGAACCCTCCTACATTATTGGTGGGATTGCAAACTGGTGCAGCCACTCTGGAGAACAGCATGGAGGGTCCTCAGCAAGTTAAAAATAGAATTCTTCTACAATCTAGCAACTGCACTGCTAGGTATTTACCCAAAAGATATAAACATACAGCTTGAAAGGGGAACATGCACCCCAGTGTTTACAGTAGCATTATCAACAATAGCCAAACTATGGAGAAAGCCCAATTGTCCATCAACTGATGAATGGATAGGGAAGATCATGTGTGTGCACGCACGCTGGAATATTAGCCATCAAAAAGAATGCAATCTTGTCATTTACAACAACATGGATGGAACTAGAGTGTGTTATGCTAAGTGAAATCAGAGAATGACAAATATCCTATGATCTCACCCATATGTGGAATTTAAGAAAGAAAACCTAAACATGGGACAGGGGAAAAGAGATAAAGGAGAAAGGGATACAAACCATAAGAGATACTTAACAATAGAGAACACACTGAGGGTTGATGGAGGGAGGTGGATGGGGGATGGGCATTAAGGAGAGCACTTGTGATGAGCACTGGGTGTTGTATGTAAGTGATAAGTCACTGAATTCTACTCCAGAAACCAGTATTGCTCTGTATGTTCAATAACTAAAATTTAAATTTTAAAAAGATTTATGTGCAAAGATATTTATCAGAAGTTAGCAATGATGGCAAAAAAAAAAAAGACCCAAACCATAAACCATAACAGTATCCAACAGTAAGGGGTTGATCCAACATGAGGGCGAGGGTCCTGGAATCGGTAGAAATTCTGCTTCTTTCCCTTCTAGGGTTTTGAGTGTTTGCACTTGTTTGCACAATCACTTAGAGGAATTTGCTTAAGCAACAGATAGTAAGACTGAGCATCCGAGTGCCTTTTCTAAAAATAACCAAATCATAAAAGATTTTTGAAATCCTTCCCACAGAGAAGTGGGAATGCTTTTATTATAGCTCTGACATGTGACAAATTGCTACCACTTGCTTTTAGGGACAGCCCGCATGGCGGCAAAATTAGCAGCATTCAGCGATTAGTGGATGGCAGTGACATGTGAAAGGAGCAGAGGCGAAAGGAAGGAGACCTCCTGCTCCATGGTCACATGCAGCAACCGGTGGGGTGTGCTCTCTCCTTTCTTGTGGGAAGACGTTTTAAGCCACATGGCTTCCATGTGGAAGCGATTTCATCTCGTTAATTAAGATCACATTTACGAATACAGGCAGAGCCAGGAAGCGGCCTTGACAAGGGTATCATAGCAAAAGCCCGGGTAAGCAGGAAGTCTTTGAAGGATCTAAGATGAAGGTAGCTGGGGTTCGGAAGGAAGTGGTTTTGTCTACCTTGTTTGGTCTTGCTTATTTTGTGGTCATTATTGGAGTGGCGTGGTAGGTTCATGAAAGGTTTAATCCTGACATTTAGAGAGAAAGACAGACAAGGCTCGTCTGGATTTGGTAGCACCCCTGTTGTTGTAGGTTAGCCAGAATTTACCCTTGACCCCTTCTGAAGAGTTTTATGTTACCTTCTGGAAGCTTTGCCAACGTATTTGAACTCTTAAGATTTTAAGCAATTAGATTTTTCAAATGCAGACTAAAACCTTGAAAGATAAGTTTCCTTAATACTTTTAAGAGAAATATGAAATGAGAAGAAGGACAAAAGAGGAGTAGCCTTGAGTTTTAGGACCTGTGCAGGCAGTATTGGTCCGGACCAAAACATGGAAAAAGAAAAAGAAAAAGAAAACAATTTCACTGATGGACTTGAAATGCCTTAGTTCTGTTCATGCTGAAATGAATTTGTAGAATAATATTTTATTTTAGGTTGTCATGGATGGATTTATTTTAATCCTGTGGAAATAGGTATACATTGATAGCTAAGTTTTAACCAAGAAAGTATGATTTGTTTGTTTAAATTCTCATTCAGTTGGAGGACCAATCATATTCATAGTTTAGTACTAAAACAAAAAAAAAAGACAAACATTAAGAATATCCTATCGCGGGGTGCCTGGGTGGCTCAGTGGGTTAAGCCTCTGCTTTCAGCTCAGGTCATGATCCCAGGGTCCTGGGATCGAGACCCACATTGGGCTCTCTGCTCAGTGGGAAGCCTGCTCCCTCCTCTCTCTCTGCCTGCCTCTCTGCCTACTTGTGATCTCTGTCTGTCAAATAAATAAAATCTTTTAAAAAAATAAAAAAAATAAACAAAACAGAACACAGGAAAGAATGTCCTAATGGGGATCTTTCTTTATGGTTCCAAATCAACAGTGTGTGTAATAGGAAAATTAAATCTAGGTTTGCTCAAAGTGCATTCAAGGCTGGCGTTATCTTTGAGTTTAATGAACATAATTTACACTTGCTATTTCAACAGAGTTACCATGGAAGATCACAATTTTAAAAAACTATCTGCTTTTCAAAAACTATGTGTATATAACATGTATAAATATACACCTACACACACTCATGGGAACAGCTTCCAGATTGATTTTATCTCATCTTGGATTAATTGAAACAATAATATACAATTAAGTTTGGGGTAGTTGTTTATTCAAGACATGAGTAATATTAACACTTGCAATGCTCCCATTTTCAGTACAAAAAAGGATATTAGAATTGGGATTCTCTTTTAGGCTGTAGATGTAAAAAATACTTTCAGAATGAATTAAAAATTTCCCTTTAGCCCTTTTCACACTGTAAGATGATGGGATATATTTGTGGCTTTATAATGTATCTCACCTTTAAGTCAACTTTCTGTTTAGATTTTTGTAAATGAGTACAGAAGTATAGAATTCTGTGCGTGTTTACGTGTGCCCATGGGGGTCTGTGTAGTGGCGGTCTTAGTGAGATAGGCTACTATTTTTTGGACAGTATGGATGAGGCTGAGAAGCTTGAGGCAGGAAGAAAAGAAAAAGAGCTAGCCAGGAGGGCAGGACTGATGTCTGCGGTGGAGGGCAAGGGTAGAGCAGGTTAACCAGTGGTTCTGCACTCACTTCCTACTGCTCTACCTGCCCCAGACACATTCTCCCTTCTCGGCAGCTCTAGTCTGAGAAATCAGAAGGGAACTTTCAACAGACCATAAGAGACTCTTAATCTCAGGAAACAAACTGAGGGTTGCTGGAGGGGAGGGGGGTAGAAGGAAAGAGTGGCTAGGGGCTGGACATTGCGTAGGGTATGTGTTGTGGTGAACGCTGAGTGTTGTGTAAGACTGATGATTCACAGACCTGTACCCCTGAAACAAATAATACGTTCTATGTTGATTAAAAAGATAATAAAAAATAGAGCTTTCAAAATTAGAACGTGAAGGTAAACATTAATTTTCTGACTTGAAATTTTAGGACTGTACATGGGTTTAAACATCAGTGAGTCCTATCATGAGATATTTCAGATGAGTGAGCTAAGCACAGTAGAAGATAAGTGCTTTGTTAGGCAGCAGGAAAAGCAATGCTGGCCTCAGTGCCTCCGGGTTTCCAGTTCAAGAATGTTTTTATGACTACATTCTGGGAGGATTTGAGTAAAAATTAAACCAAGGGCCTCTTTGTCATCAATCCCTTTGCTGTAGACAGAGATACTGCATCTGCTACTGAGGCAGAAGTTAGAAAGACAGTTAAGTGAAACAGGGCTTATTTTTCTAGAGGAGAACCAAATACTGCCCAGTTGTTATGCGAAGTTGACCCGTGACCTTTCATTTTATTTATTTTTAAGCAATCTTTACCTTCAACATGGGGCTCGAACTCAAGACCCCAAGATCAAGAGTCGCATGCTCCACCCACTGAGCCAGCCAGGCGCCCCTACCCTTGATCTTTTTGGAAGTAATTTTAGAAGACTTCATAAAAAAACAACAACAACAACAAAAAAACAGATCCTTTCCAGATGGTGCCATATACACACCTAAGATCGTAGAGAATTAGATCCTGTGTCCCAAGGGTGCCTCCCTTGTTTTCCCTACGTTTCAGCATCTTCAGATTGATGGTGGATGTTTGGGTTCAGGCTGCACCTGGTGCCCTAAGTCTTTCTGGTTTCTTTTATGCAGGCGCAGGGGAGTTTGCTTTTGCTATCTTTGAAGCTGTGTGGATGCAGTTTGGCCTTCTAATCCACATAAAACCACCTACCAGACCTTTTAAAACCCAAAGCTTCACAAATGAGATACTCATAGGAAAGGGAATAGTCTTCTGGTCACATTATTTACAGTTCTCTCTTCCAAAATTTAATGCACAGACATACACTTTGGCTATACCAAATCCCCTGTCCTGAAGGAGGCATTTTGCTGCATGTAGGTAAAGACATTGATGAGTAGTACCCTGTGTATACTGTAAATAATTGTATTACTATGCATGGGATTTTTCCATTATGAAAATGAGTCAATAAATATTTATTGAATACCTACTATGTGGTGGGCACTGTGGGTTGGCCCAGGGTGAAAAGGCAACAATATTCATGTCTTCCTAGTGTTTACAGTAATACTGTGCAAAATGATGCCTTTATCAAGGATAGTAAATCATTCTAGGCTCTGGATTCTCTTTTGGTCTACTTATACATGCATGTTTTTAATCAATGTAAGCATCTATTAAAATAGAATAAGACACAGAAAAGTACATAGATCAAGTGTAAAGCTCAGAACAATTTTCACCCAGTGAACACACCCATGAAACCAGAAGCCAGGTCAAGAGGCAGACCATGCTTGACCCCAGCTGAAGTGAGGAAGAACTTTAATTTTGGATAGGTGCTGATGGTTTCCTCTTCCTTTTCAGTCTGATTTATACTCGCACACCAACCTTATATTTGGACTTCAAACTGGACGCTGGAGCCAAGCACTGCCAGCCTATTCCTAAAGGTATGATGACTTCTGGGATTTCATCATAAGAAAAAAAAAACAAGAGGCTACTTTCTCAGAAATGGGCTCATTTCTGAACCTCAACACAAGATTCTGTGAACTTTGTTTACGTGTAAGTAGAAGATCAGATAGAAGATCAGGTAGAATTCATAGAACGTTAGGGCTGGACTGTCTGTCCCCTCCTCCCCCGTTTTACAGGTGTAAACGCTAAGACCCAACAGAGTAGTTACTTGTTCAAGTCCTCATGAAGACTTGCTGGACAAGGCAGAACTTTTACCCATGTCTCCTGATTTCCCAGCCACGGGTGCCTCTAAGTGTTCCTGGAGGCAAATTCCAACCTTGTCACTTATGAACAGGTGTGCCCCTGATTGAGATATAGGGATCTTTTGATAAAAGTATTATTATGGATGACTTACCTTTAAGTCAACTTTCAAATTCAAAGACTACTTAGAAAACTGCCAAGTGTCTAAGTCCAATTTTGTTTATTTATTTATTTAAAGATTTTATTTACTTAGAGAGCACAAGTGTCGGGAGGGCGAGAGGGAGAGAGAAAATCTCAAGCAGACTCCCCACCAAGCGTGGAGCTCCATGTGGGGCTGGATCTCATGACTCTGAGATCACGACCCGAATTTGAAGCCAAGAATTGGATGCTCAATTGACTGAGTCACCCAGGCACCCCCCCACCCACGAAGGCCAATTTTATTTTTGGAAATGGTAGCACCTGAGATCATTAGGCATTCACCTCGAATCCATTATTTTCTTCTTTGGTTTTGTGGTTCTGGCTATTTTAAGGTGCAGAAGAACTTTTTAATTAATACACTTAAACATATGCCTACCCCTTAAAACACATTTTTTTTAATAACAATAAGGATGAAAGCACATATTTTTTAATGGATTTTATTTTTTTAATTTTATTTTATTTATTTATTTGAGAGAAAGAGAGAGAGAGAGCATGAGAGGAGAGAAGGTCAGAGGGAGAAGCAGACTCCCCATGGAGCTGGGAGCCTGATGCGGGACTCGATCCCAGGACTCGAAGATCATGACCTGAGCCGAAGGCAGTCACTGAACCAGCTGACCCACCCAGGCGCCCTAATGGATTTTATTTTTAGGTAACTTCTACACCCAACATGCGACTTGAACTCACAGCCCCGATGTCGAGTTGTGTGTTTTTCTGACTGAGCCAGCCAGCTGCCCCTGAAAGCACATATGCTTTAACCATTAGTGCAGTGCTTTTGCTTTTCCTTTTGACTTTGCTCCCTCCAGTTCCTTCCAGTACCTTCCCTATACATCCCAGCTCTAGGATGTATCCTAGATATATACTCAGATTAGATCTCATAGCGGCGGCATCCTGGGCTCTGGGTTGGATGTGATGCATCCAGCTCGTCTCTAAGTGGGTCCTCCCTTCGTATCTAGTGCTTGGCCATCCTTGTCCACCTGTCCTTCTGCACGGGGACTTATTTTAATGCAGTGGTTTTCCAGGGATGGTCGCAAGGTAGATGTACGTTTAATTTCAAAACACATTGTCAGCCAAGCACAATCCCACTTTCCATCGGGAACATTTGAGAGCGCCAGCTGCTCAGTGACCCCACTGACACTAAGCTGCTGGTTCCTGTTGAGTTTTGTTCTACCCTTAGTCACTACTCTATATGGCCTCACAAGAGAATGTGATATGTCACTTGAAAAGGGTAGACTTCGGTTTTAGTTCATCCTTCTAAATTCTAAACCTGAGATTTGTTTTCAAAAACATTTTTGGAGCAGGGTGCCTGGGTGGCTCAGTGGGTTAAAGCCTCTGCCATCGACTCGGGTCATGATCCTAGGGTCCTGGGATCGAGCCCCGCATTGGGCTCTCTGCTCGGCGGGGACCCTGCTTCCTCCTCTCTCTGTCTCTCTGCCTACTTGTGATTTCTGTCTGTCAAATAAATAAATAAAATCTTAAAAAAAATTTTGGAGGGATGCCAAAGCTAGTGGCTTAGAAACGCACGTTTACACTGAATCAGTATAAATCCATTTGCAACAAGTCTGTTATAAACCCAACTATGAAGCCGAAGGACCTGTCTTTTCTAAGACATCACTCCAATTATATTGTGTCCCCTCTTTTTCTCAGTGTCTCTGTCTCTGTCTCTGTCTCTCTCTCTCTCTCACACACACACACACACACACACACACACACACACACATCCCTGTTTACATTCAGTGACAAATCCAGAGTTTGGGGCATCTCTGTCCAGCACCAGACAAACAATTTAATTCCGATATATATATATATGTATATAATATACATATATATATATGGCACTTATTATTTACAGATTTGATACTTGCGGCTGCCTGTAATCAGCCATATTGACTGGTGAAATCATGTTGCATAAATTTTATTATCAAGTCGTTTAAGTCAAGGTCACCCTGTGTCCTTTTTTTTTTAAACCCCCTCCTGGGCCAAATTCCATTATGAAACCCAAGGACTGTTTAAATTCATTTTATTTGGGTGCTTTGCTGCAGCCAGTATTTCTTGAAATGTGTTTGTCATTGTCTGGGTCCTGGACATATTTTGTTTGTAATATTTTAATTGTTTTGTTACTCACGGTAAAGGGATTTGTCATGGATGTCTGGGTTATGTTTGGCTTTTGGCATGAGCTTCGCAATCTCACTGATCTAATATTGACATCATTGTATCATTACCAAAGCAGTGGGCTAGAACTAGAGGCAAGACAGCACTACCATCGCACCCCTAATTCCAGGGAAATACAGATTTCCTGAGGGACATCCCATTAAGGGTGGTTGGAAGCATTTCTCATGAATCAGACTGGGTTTTATCTGAATTATTTCCCATAAATAGTATAAGAATTGGTTTTTACCATCTCTGTCTTGCCTTTTTTAAGGCCTATTCCTATGGAGTTGGGCTAATCCCGCAGAAAACAGATGTTTCATGCAGTGATGGTTTGGAAGGGAGCTGATTGCATGAACGGAGCATCACTTACAAAGAATCCAATTTGTCAGGCCTCTGACAATACCAGATTCCTTTAACACTGGCTGCACGTTTTTCATGTTAGTTCTTGGCTGAAATAGGAATAAGTAGTTGTTTTTTGGTTTGTTTGTTTGTGGGTTTTTTGCCATGAATTTTACCATCTCTTACAAATCAATGTGATTTTCCTTGCTGCAAATTGACTTACAGACAACACTTTTGTCATTCACTGAGAAACACCAAATCCATACTTCTAGGAAAATACCAGTCTTGCCCAAGAGACTTGGGCCTTCTGGTCCTCACGTCCCCTTTGTCTTCTGATGGCATCAAAGTATGGCTCTGAACAGCGCCTCTGTGGCTCCCCCATCTTTCTGCACGGGGATTCTACCACTACGCATGCATGCATTCATTCATTTTATTTAAGATTTTATTTATATATCTGACAGATCGAGCACAAGTAGGCAGAATGGCAGGCAGAGGGAGAGGGAGAAGCAAGATCCCTGCTGAGCAGAGAGCCCGATGCAGGGCTAGATCCCAGAACCCTGAGATCTTGACCTGAGCCAAAGGCAGAGGCTTAACCCACTAAGCCACCCAGGTGCCCCTTTCTGTTACTAGGTATTTAAAGGCATGATCTACAATGTTAAAAATGGACGATGGTTATGGCATGGAAAAACTTCCTCGTGTAAGTATTTTTTGCTTCCTCAATCTTTTAGTTTTCTTTACAGTATATATCCATCAATCCCCCCAATTTCTGCTATCCAGGAGTGTAGCCTGGATAGTCCAGGTGGCCCCAGTATAATCAAAGGGTCTGTGTAAAAGAAGGAGGAAGGGAGAGTCCGAGGGAAATGTGTGATGGTGGAAACATAAGTCCAGGTGATACCGTTGCTGCTTTTGGAAAATGGGAGGGGGGCCTTGGGCCAAGCAGGAGGGGCAACCTCTAGAAGTTAGAAAAGGCAGGGAAGTGCATTTCCCCCTAGAGCCTCCAGAAGGAAGGCTGTCCTACTGGTACCTTGATTTTAGGACCTGGAGACCCATCTTTGGACGCAAACCCCCCAGCATTATTAGATAACAAGGTTGTGTTGTTTTAAGCCAGCAAGTTTTTGTCATTATTATAGAAACCATAGGAAACGCATACGTTCTCTTAAATATTGTCAACGTATTTTTGCTTTGGTGGGAGGAACAAACAGAAAGGAGCCCTGTCAATTACATTGCACTAGAACTGGGGGGGGAATAGAAATCAGCACTTCAGAGTGCTTTTTGAAAAAGTAGATTGTAGGGGCACGTGGGTGGCAGAGTCGGTGAAATGTCTGACTCTTGGTTTTGGCTCAGGTCGTGATCTCAGGGCCCTGCTCTCAGCGTGGAGTCTGTTTGGGATTCTCTCTCCCTTTTCCCTCTCCCCCTCCCTGCCCACCCCCACTCCCTGCTCTTGCTCTAAAATAAATTAATATATCTTTTTTTTTAAAGAAAGTGGATTTTAATGCTGTGCATACAGTAGCTACTCTGTAAATCCAATGAGGATCCATTCAAATAAATATTACTGTATTACTTATCCATGTTGCTCTCAAACAAATTACTCCCAAGTGTAGTGGCTTAAGATCACACTTGTTATCTCACACTTTAGCTGTGGTCTCTGGCTCAGGGACTCATACAAGGCTGCAATGGACAGGTCAGCGAGGTTGCAGCAATCCCAGGGCTTGACTGGGAAGGATGCGCTTCCAAGCCCACACCCCCGTGGCTGGGGACAGCCCTCAGTTTCTTGGGGTTGTTGGCTGTGGCCAGCTGTTACTTCCTTGCCACGTGGGCCTCTCCCTAGGATGACTCATAACGTGGCCTCTGGCTTTATCAGAGCCTACGAGTGAGAGAGGAAGAGTGAACATACGGAAACCAGAGGCTGTCACCTGATATCAAAAGCGACATCCCATTACTTTTGCCCATTCTGCTCGTTAGAACCAGGCCACCAGGTGCAGCCCCCGCTCAGAGAAGAGAGAATTACCCAGGGCATGATGAGGCAGGGGATGTCTTAAGTCAACTTGTCAAG